TCAACCATTCGAGCTCCACCATCTTTCGCTGTGTGTAGGTTTTTAAGTGCATTTGCGAGGAACATTGTTCATATAGATAAGACAGAAGCAATAGCGTTATTCCTTGGGAAAAACATAGTGTATGTATATCTACATACATTTAGCAAACGTATCTCTAAATTCTTCTGGCTTTTCTGCGAAGGATAAGGCTATTACTTCTGTCTTCTATATATATATATATATATATATATATATATATATATATATATATATATATATTGCTGTACACTGGCCTGCCAGCCCCAACACCATCAGTGTGTATCGCTAGCTTTTCGATGAATGTGCTGCTTTCATGCACCCTTTTAAAAGACATTGACATCACACCCAACCTTCCCCAGAAACTGGATGAGCACTTCGTGAACTTCCGTAGTAAGTACGCACAGCACAATATTAAATTGATTCCCTCACCACAATGCCTATACCTTCACTCGTTCACTCAGTGTATCAAACTAAATATATGTGGGCCATGCCATGGATGCAATTTGTTAACATATTATCGAAAACAAAAAAAAATTGTAAAGATCGTGCTTTGTGGAGAAATGCAAACGTCATGCTGGATGCGTCGTTACAAGATCGCACGTGCTTCCGAAAACTGCACTATATTTTTTTCATGCCGCCGCAATCTGCAACGTTCGCCGAGCTCGAACTAGTAGGCATTCTAGCCGAGCGTAAAGCGTCATATTGCCACTTGTGAAACTTCCACCCATTTTGCAACTTCAGATGCATATCAAATGGCACATGCTGGGAACTGAAAAGACCTCTCTCCATGTCGTTGCGTTATCACATGCACGAGCTACTAGGTACTAAAACATTGTTGATCTTGGCTGTTGAACGAGAAGCCGCGCCATCTTGGTTGTCATTTCTTCCACTGTTTGAGATAGCATGCATAAACGATGAGGGACATATGCAGCTTCGCAATCAAACGTATATCTTGCGCCGCATGGATAGTTTCGTGAATCGGCAGAAGACTTATGACAGACAGAAGTGACGACAGACATCACGATTTTCTCCCTGACGCGACATACTTCTCCACGATTTTATTCACTGCTGCGGCTGAAATGTCGAACACAGTCCCCATTGTTTTGCACGTCCCTGGTTCAGCTAACCCTGTGTCCTGAAAGATTCAAGGCCACAGCCTATCTTTGTTTTGCTATTTTCATCAATAAGTTCAGTGCCAACTATTTTATTCCGATCCAACCAACCTCTTTCCTCAATCGACAATGCTCCGGCGGCGGGGCTTAACGAGCCTTTAGCAATTAATTTCACCTAATGCTGCAGGCTCCGCATCAAAACAAGGTACATTGAATATGTACCGGTCAGGGACCTTGGGCCATTTGCAGCGTTGCATTAAAGGACATGAGCTGGCGAGAGTCGGTTTAAGTTATGTTGCCTGAAGATGACTGAGATGATCACGATGAGCTGACGGCATTGCCACTGGCATTATCGCTGCTTTCGTCAAAGACGGGCTGCTTTTCCACCTTCTTTCTTCTCCCGAGCAAACAATTTGCAGTTATACGAATAAGCAGCAGAAAACTAGTCCCTATTTCTTCGTTTATCTTGAAGAATATTTATACAAAAACCTTTAGAGCCATTGTATTTACGTGCATCTAAGTACTACAACTAGCTCAGTCCAAATGCTAAACCTTTTTCGGAAATGATATGACACATGTGATGTTCATCTCTACTCACTCATCCCCGCTTTATTTCTTAATATTTTTCTCCAATTTGAATGCTGCGCCGCCTTCTTCTCACCATCGATATTTTAGGATGTGTTACGCCTTTGGTGCAACTAGCTTAGTTCGGAATACTTTCCATGTTTTGACTCACATGATCGCTTTAGCCGGTCGCTGGAAAATCGCGCAGTAAAATCCTGAGGTAGTGGGAGAGAGACCACACCAAAGAGCATTCTGGACAAACCCAGGTCCTAAGAAGCCGCCTTGCATAAGGCATGAAGCGCGCGCTTGGTACCGTCCACCAGGCGACGGGCCCAGTTTGTCATGGCGACCTTCTGAGGAATCCAGCAAGGCCGTCCCATACCTGGCAGCCTTAGGTCCCGGCATTATGCAACAGACCCAAGCACCAGGAAGGCTGGAGACTGTACGGCTCGGGGCCACTGACGCCATGAATATTGAGGCCCGACTTCGGCTACGGTGCAAGACCCAGATGGAATGCGATACTCGCGTGCCTGCTGTCCGCAGGCGTGACGTAAGCGCGCTCCAAAACAGGCGGCACTTTACCGAAAGGTCATTCGACCCCCAAAGGTCGCGCTGGCGATCCAGCTGACGCAAGGCCTCTGGTGGGAATGGCCGCCGACGGTGGCTTTTGGAGTCTCACTCTGCGATGCGGTTGCTTGATGACAGCACGGAAGGTGAATGCGCAGAAGCGATGATTAGCATGATCACCAGTCACGTTCGCCCCCACCCCCCAGCTCAGTGGCTGCTTAGCACCATTGCCATATGTTGGGCATTTCGAGCCCACATTAGCCTTCCGGTCTTCCTTAGTGGGGTGCTGAATCACTGGTTTAAGGTTCACCCCTGGCGTGTACCAGGCACGGAGAATGGCGTGTCATAGCCTGACGGTGCAAACGATTTTGGCTTGAAAGCAGGCAAGTAATGCTTAAAGAATCAGGAAACAACTACTTAGTCTCTTTACTTACGTACATAATGCGCACGTTATCAGACAGAAGTGCTACCACACTTGCACGAAGGAACGTAACCAGCTAGTTTACAAAAGACATGGTTCTTCCAATCGAACTATGCACCAGCAGACCTCGTCCGTGGTAGGATTTGGGGGGATTTGGGGGGATTTATAGGACGGATTTGTCCTCAGTCCGACCATTTCAAACTTCGAAAGGCGAAGCCGACCAGCGAAGTAAACATCCCGACCAAATGCGGATAATTGTCGTAGCTGGCAACATAGTGCATATAGCATAGTGTCGAAGTCCTTGCTTGATATCATCGTGTCACGTGGAGAGAGAGAGAGAGAGAGAGAGAGAGAGAGAGAGAGAGAGAGAGAGAGAGAGAGAGAGAGAGAGAGAGAGAGAGAGAGAGAGAGAGAGAGGAGAGAGAGAGAGAGAGAGAGAGAGGAGAGAGAGAGAGAGAGAGAGAGGGTTCTGCTGGCATGTGGCAGTTATTAGATTTCAGGAATCAGACCTACAATGACCAAATCGCATTGATCGTCGGGGCTGTTCACTTTACAATGGCTTTCTTGGGTCTGTCTGAATCGATAGCACCCAAAGGCGTTGCGGCAATTTATGACTGTTTTGAGAAATGTGCACCAGCGTAAATAAGAACGTTTATACACAGCTGATCCATGATGGCCTGGAGTTGTTCTGTCCTTCATACAAAATCGAGTGGTCAAACAAATTTTGAGCATGCAGGATCGCACGGTCAAGGGAAACACCGACGCCCGAGGCTGCAGTCTCCGCAGACCGCATACACCGACGCCCGAGGCTGCAGTCTCCGCAGACCGCACACACCGACGCCCGAGGCTGCAGTCTCCGCAGATCGCACACACCGACGCCCGAGGCTGCAGTCTCCGCAGACCGCACACACCGACGCCCGAGGCTGCAGTCTCCGCAGACCGCACACACCGACGCCCGAGGCTGCAGTCTCCGCAGACCGCACACACCGACGCCCGAGGCTGCAGTCTCCGCAGACCGCACACACCGACGCCCGAGGCTGCAGTCTCCGCAGACCGCACACACCGACGCCCGAGGCTGCAGTCTCCGCAGATCGCACACACCGACGCCCGAGGCTGCAGTCTCCGCAGACCGCACACACCGAACGCGAGCTTAACGGAATGCGCGTCTCTGAAAGGCAGACTGGACTGTTCATTTAGCCCGTGACATTTTCAGATTGATGGTTTAAACGGACGTAACAGTGGAATCACTGTTGTTCGTTCGGGTAACCATGAATTTTTTTTCAGAAGATTTGCGCTATTTTTGTACATATGAAACATACGCCCTGCGTAATCTTTAAAGGGTATGCATTTGTTTTAAAGCGCTTTTAAAAACATTATTTCTCTATGCATGGATAGCATCGCGGGCCCGCCGCCCGCCGCTCAGTGTTAGTTGCAGCGGCCAATGTTCCGCGGTTAGACGCAGACTGCAACGCCCGATATCGGCATTCCTGTACCTTAAGATTGGGAGGACGCATGTCGAAGCCTACTACACGCGATTTTTCCACTAGTCGTTTCTAAAGAAGGATTGACATCCTAAGGTTAACAGGAGCTGGTCATGCCATTATAGTCTTTTACCCCGTTTCACTCGATCGCATTGAACAGGAAGACCTTTACCATTCCCGGACGGGGAGCAACTTCAATTTGGGGGCTCGGCCTTCGGGGCGGGCTCCCTCAGAACAGCATATCACCAACCCTTCAAGGCCGTTGATCAAGCCTTCTTCAAGCCCTTCGGTCTCGAGAGAACCAGGGAGGGGGGGGGGGGCAGGACACAAGGCCCCTGTGCCTCCTGTGCCAAGGCGTCCCTGTTTCAAACTTGTCCATCTGCAAAAGACAAGCATTGCTCGTTTGCAACTACAGCATGCCGCAGAACTGTGGATGGGATTTGTTAAGGCTTTCGCCTAGGCCGGCAAAGTGCTGACGCCAGTTCGCCAATAAATGCCTGCACAAATGCCTCCAGCCAATACCGGTAACACCTTTCTATTTTCAATGCGGCGTCAGAGAGGCGAGCGAATATACGATCGGCATTCTTCAACAGCCAGCAGCGGTCGTGAAGGGTCGCCTGGCTGGCGCCGGACGGGACCGGAGGCACCGCCGAGCCGCCGAGCCGTGGCGCCAGAGAATCTTACCGCTGCCAATACCGGCCGGACGGCGCGGAGATTCCCTGTCTGAACACGGCCTCCGGCGGTGGGGTGGCCGCACACCCCACGCGCGACCGCCCGCCCTCCGCCGCCGCTATATAACCGGCGTGCCAGCGGTGAGAAAGGTACAGACGGCCCACGGCCCGAGCAACGGCGCACAGCGGCTAGAGCAGCACAGCACCACAGACCACAACGTCGGCCAACATGATCAAGTTCGCAGTTCTGCTGGTTCTCGGGGCGCAGCTCTGCTTGGCTCAACAGTACCCGAGGTACTTCAAGTTCCCCGTTGGAAAAGGTGAGTGCTGCAGCGTTCGGATGACTTCGTCAGCTTCTATTTGCATACGGAAGTTACAAATCGGGCGCCGCTAAAGCACTCGCCAACAGTTCAAGACATCTCAGCAATTTGTCGTCTGCTTAGCAATCATGTAACTATAGCAGAATAGTACCACCAAGGTATGATCTGCTATCGGCAGTTTGATATTCTTCGCTTTGCTGTTCTGCAATGTTTCTTTGCGTGATGGTTTAGCTTTTGTGACGGACTCCTACCGAGATACAGTAACGCTTCAATGCCTGGCAGTTTGGGACGCAGGGCGTCGCAGTGCCATCGTTTTGCATCACGTGCCGAGGTGGGGGGTGGCGAGGCGACCAGTGGCATGGTCTGACTGTGGCACTGGTCTGCTTGCAGGTGATGAGTGCGAGGACCACCAGATCGGCAAGAGATTCCCCGTGGGTGCTGTGTGGACCAGCCCTAACTCGGGCTGCAAGCAGAGCCACTGCATCAAGGAGAACGGTACTCTTTACATCGACCGCTTCCAGTAAGCACCCTCAAGCACATCGGCTACGACGAGGCAGTCCATCTCAATAGTGTTTGTTCGAGCTGTGTAACAAGCGTTAGAAGGCTTGCAGAGCATGTCTGGCATATAGATATCAGTTCATGTTTTAACATGATCCAAGGGTAAAATTGGCCCTGGGAATGGTTCAGTGTTCTGAAGACCGATTTTTTTGGTCTTTGAGAAGTGGATACCACTATGGGAAATAACAGATGATTTTCTTCTTTTTGCAGGTGCCCGTCGGTCAGGAAGCGGGTGGATTACAAGAAGCTGAAGGCGGACAATCTGTTCTGCAGGCTGGCCTGGGTAGACCGCAGGAAGGCGTTTCCGGACTGCTGTCCCCGCCTTGTGTGTAAACGCTACGTTAAGGGCAAGCTGGTCGCTCTCCCTGAGGACGAGTATCCTTTGCTCTGAATGCAGTCCATTGCTTGCGGAAAACGCATGGTAAACATGAAATGAAGGCTTGTTTGTGATACGAATGTGATATTTCTACCTGCCGAAGACAGTTGCAGACTTGTTAAGTTATTATCATCAATTGGTTTCCACGAAACAGTATTTTTGTGGAATAGTAGCACTGGAGCCCGGTGGCGCTTCATTTTTGCGTCGTGTTGGAAACAGCTTCCGTTGTTTATTAACAGCGCATGCTAGCTTACGCAACCACCTGGGATTTAAGACAAGGTCTCTTACGGACATCCCTGACAGTGGTTTAAGTATGCATAGTTCGAGTGTGTATGTAGCTGTCTGTTAGACGTGACTGCAATTTACTCCGAGTCCGAAACTTCTTGGAACGTAGTTCTGGGACTCGAAGTCAGTGAATGAGCTCACTGTCGATTCTGCTGCTGCTCACACGAGCTCACTGTCGATTCTGCATGCATAGTTCCCCAGCGTAGCAACGACATGACGTGATGAAAAACTGAAGACCTAGTGGCGGTACGAAATCCTGCTGCAGGAAGCCTACTGTTGAACTTGAAGCAATGTTATCGTATGTTGAGACGCTACAAAATAGCAAAATAAAACAATGTTTCCAGCTATGTGTTTAAAACAGAAGACGCTCGTCTTATGCGTAAAGAGCTTCAGCAGCGATTGGTGACATTCAAGTCCAGCCTTGTGTATTGGACCATATCCTGATCCCTTGCACAGGTGCAAGGCTTTGTCATTTTTCTCCGTGGCTTAACAAGTTTGTACATTGCAAATCGAAATTCCGAGTTTTTTTAATTTGTAAATAGAAATTTCATGCCATCTTAGGTGAACCGTAAAAAAATCCTTATTTGACTAGACACACTCCCCTTAAGGCCCACACTACCGGTGTGGCTGATCCAGCGTAACATTACGCCTCGGTGCGGGGCGTTGAAGCACACCTACATCGAATATTCCTTGCTTGTATTCCTCAACACCTTCGCAATACAAACACTCCAAAAATGCGATAGTCCCCTAGGCAACGCTTAAAAAAGACCTTCGCTACATTGTTGTAGCTCAGACGATGCTTTCTCGAGTGCTACACCTCGGTCACTTTTACACATACTCAAAGCGTATATGAAACCTGCAAAAACGGCTGTGATCCTATGTGAAATGACGCCGCTGAGCTGTTGCTGAAAACACTCATATAAGGTATGCTTGGAGGAGCACCTACCTGAGGTGTCCACACGCCAAGAGTTAGTCAAGTGCCAGTAAAGCACACACACCGCAATTTCGTTGGCGTAAGGAAAACGCGTTCTCACTAGCAAAGGTAAAAGCAGCTGTGTTATATTTGCTCACAAATGCGAATAAGATCGTTTGACTGCACCTTAGGGATCACATTATAATAAGAGACGCAAAATACAATACATATCACAGCACCATGACGAGATCGCATCGGCAGGACGACTAAAATTGACAAATGACAAACCTAACGAACCCGCCAAATTGTCATTAGCAACATCGCGACATTGGCAAGGATAGTGTGACCCCACAAAGTGAGCGTCTCGCACATGCAACCTATAATTGTTGTGCAAAGGCACGTGATGGCGGAAGCATCAACTGCTACGCTCACAACTAGTTTTGAAGTGGATCATCAAGTGGCGCTGAATTTTATCTTCGTCATGGATGCTTAATGGTGCCCTGCAGCCGCCGCGTGGTAGAGAAGAGGAGGGGGTGGGGGTGGAAGGGCACTGTGCCCTTGCGGGGGTAACAAATAATTTTAAGCTCATCCAGAATAAATCGATGCTCTTTAGCCACATACGATAAATAGGATCGCTTCTTAAGAATGAAACAAACAACGTTGGTGAAATGAATATGACGTGATAAACAGCATATGACTTAGCTGGCCTTTCGAGTGTTTTCTGCCACCTGAATGCAAACACCTCTGCATTATCATTTCCGATAGCGGCGCGCGCTGAAGAGTTTGTACCCTGCACGCTCGACGTGCAAGGCTGCGTCGGGGAGGAGATTTAATAAACATATTTTGTATCGCCTCTTTCATCTGTTGTATCGCGTTTCACGAACGCGAAGTACGGCATCTGCCGCCTTTTCATAGAGCGCCAGCGAATGCAGCAGCCAAAATGGTGCTCAAAGATCATGATACAAACGAGATTCAACCGGGGCTTGTACATTTGTGCCAAAGGTGCTGATAACTTAACCATTCCGCCTTTTAAATCTCCTCAAACTTGATACTGAAACGTTTTCTGTTGATCTGTCGAATCGCGTGAAATTCGTAAAACAAAGGTAGGAGTGCCATTGGCTCCGGAAGTGTATTTTTGGCGCTTGAGTGGACTTTTTGGTACTGTAAGAGGAAAAATGAGGTTTGGCAAAATTCCACTTCGATTTGGTACCGGTTTTGGCGCCGCACAAGGACTAAACCCTGGTAATCTGCATAACGTTTGAACCACTGTTTTCACTGACAGCAACCCTCGTCAAAGTGTCTTGCTCAAAAGGGCCACTTAAATGCCCACCTCTTTTCTTCGGCGCTTTCGTCTGGTTCAGGGGATGAACAGGACATTCTGCGCCACTGGCCCTGGATTTTGGTGCGGTAGTCTCCCGAATGCATTTGTGCCAACATTACAATCAAATGCCCTTTTTGGCTCTGGATAAAACTTCGTTGTCAGCAGATGTTCGAAGGAACTCGTACTCCGGAATATTTCGATGCACAAATAGGCTTCAGTGTTCTTGTTGCACAACATCAGACATTTTTGAATTCGAAGTCTTAGTTAAAGACTGTCAAGAATTACACAACGCTGGATTAGCTCTCACAATTTTTTTCAGTTTTAGGTTTCGAATGAAAACAGAACGCCCCGACAGTCACGCGCCTTTCGACAAGTGAAAGAAGAGATCGTGAGCACATTAGAGCGTGACGGCTGGATTTGCTGTATGGTGAGAGTAGGCTGGAAATTGCTTTGGCTATTCTTGCCAAAGAAACGCATTCTGTTTACGCGCTATGACAGCGCGTTCCTATCTTTCTCATACGGCGCCATTCAGGTGAGCCGAGGCACCATTTGTCTACATATCGTGCTGATTGTCCAGTGACTGCTCTCTGGAAGCTACGTTTGTCGCCACATGTGGAAAACATCCTAATGTTGTTCAAATCTTAATGGAAAAATGTGAGTTACGGAATCAGCTGCATATCCGATGGCGCACGGACAACACAGGATTTTCAGAATGAAAAAGAATAATGGCGTAGTGTTAGTACTGGTCTGCTGAGCTCATTAATTCTCAAAATGTGTCAGGAGCGTGTAAAATCTCTTTCGAGTGGTGTGATATGTTGAGTACTATCAGGAAGACGGTAATGTACTTCAGGTCTTGTTGCCTTTCGATAGCCCTAGGCGGCATCATGCTGACTTTTCACGTTCAGCACTTTTAAAGAGACTTAACGGGCTTCGTTGATTTTCAACTGTAATTGTTGTTCATGTTTGTTTGGCATCTTAAGTTTGGGGGGGGAATTTTGCATATTTTCAGCCAATTCTGTTGTAAGAACTGTTTTTCCGCTTTGTTTGTGTCCATGAGACCGGCCACATATCTATAAGAGCCTGAGCACTGCTTTAGGGTGCCAGCAATGATAAAGAGGCCCCATTCACCGTGACGTCACCCGTGGTATGTCAGGTCGTGGCCAGACTCCTATGCAATTGATTCCATAACTCAGATGAAATAACAATTCACGCAAAGGGCGGATGTCCTAAGCATTTCTCCATGAGTTTTCTTCAAGTATCTTTCGCCGAGAGTGTTGACCTCCTCCCCTCGCTGGGCCCCTCGCTGGCGCCAGACAGGACGGGGAGCACCGCCGGACCGCGCGAGCCGTGGCGCCATATAGGACCGGCCGGGCGGCGCGGGGATTCCCTGTCTGAACACCGCCCCCGGCGGTGGAGTGGGTGCACACCCCAGGCGCGCCCCGCCCACCCTCCGCCGTCGCTATATAACTGGCGTGCCAGCGGTGAGAGAGGTACAGACGGCCCGAGCAACGGCGCACAGCGGCTAGAGCAGCGCAGCACCACCGACCGCAACGTCGGCCAACATGATCAAGTTCGCAGTTCTGCTGGTTCTCGGGGCGCAACTCTGCTTGGCTCAACAGTACCCGAGGTACTTTAAGTTCCCCGTTGGAAAAGGTGAGTGCTGCAGCGTTCGGATGACTCCGTCAGCTGCTATTGCATAAGGAAGTTACAAATCGGGCCGCCGCTAAAGCACTCGCCATCAGTTCAAGACATCTCAGCAATTTGTCGTCTGCTTAGCAATCATGTAACTATAGCAGAATAGTATCACCAAGGTATGATCTGCTATCGACAGTTTAAAATTCTTCGCTTTGCTGTTCTGCAATGTTTCTTTGCGTGATGGTTCGCTTTTGTAATCTCAGCAATTCGTCGCCTGCTTCGTAATCATGTACAGCCACTCCACCGAGACACAGCCACGCATTAATTCCTGGCAGTTTGGGACGCAGGGCATGACAGGGCCACCGCTATCGGCCCGCACGAGACTTTGGCTATAAATCACGGGACTCCACAAGAGACACGAGATTCCATACGGTCGGCCGCTGTTACGCAGCGATCTTGTGCCACGATATGTTGGTTTACATCACGTGTCGAGGTGGGGGGGGTGGCGTTGCGACCGGTGCCGTGGTCTGACTGTGGCACTGGTCTGCTTGCAGGTGATGAGTGCGAGGACCACCAGATCGGCAAGAGATTCCCCGTGGGTGCTGTGTGGAGCAGCCGTAACTCGGGCTGCAAGCAGAGCCACTGCATCAAGGAGAACGGTACTCTCTACATCGACCGCTTCCAGTAAGCGCCCTCAAGCACATCGGCTACGACGAGACAGTCCATCTCAATAGTGTTTGTTCAAGCTGTATAACAAGTGGAAGAAGGCTTGCAGAGCATGCCTTGTGTTTAGGTATCAGGTTACATTTCAAGCATACTCCAGAAGCGAAATCGGCCCTGGGAGTGGCCTGATGCTCTGAGCGACGAGGATTTTGGTCTTTGAGAGGCAACTGTGGGAAATAACACATAGTTTTTTCTTTCTGCAGGTGCCCCCAGGTGCGGAAGCGGGTGGACTTCCAGAAGCTGAAGGCGGACAACCTGTTCTGCAGAGAGGCCGTGGGAGACCGCAGGAAGGCATTTCCGGACTGCTGTCCCCGCCTTGTGTGTAAACACTACGTTAAGGGCAAGCTGGTCGCTCTCCCTGAGGACAAGTACCCTTTTCTCTGAGCGCAGTTGATGGCGTGCGGTAACATTGAAATAACGACTTGATTGTGATACGATGGTGATAGTTCTAGCTGCCGGAGACAGTCGCAAACCTGATACGTTATAGTTATCAGTAGTTTTTTTTTTCACGAAACAGTAGTTTTGTGGAATGGTACCACCAGTGCCTGTAGCGTAGCTTTGTGGCGCTTTGTTTCGTGAAGAGGTTTTGTGTTAAGTGCATATGTTAACTCATCAAACCACCTGCAATTTAAACAATGTTTCCCCAGACATCCATGACATAATGGTTTAAGCATGTTATGCAGTGTTATGTGGCTGTCAGCTCCTAATTACACCTCTGTCGGAAGTGAGATTTGCTTCGAGTCAGAAAACTAGTTGCTAAGAACGAGCGCACTGTCGGCTCTGCATGCGTAATTTTACCCGCTGGAAAATGACTTGAAGTGAAGAACATCTGAAAATAAAGTTTCGGTTGGAAGCCTACTGTTTGGAGCCTACTGTCAACCAGTGAACACTACCATGGTATGTTTACATGCTACGATGAACGAAACAGCAAAATGAAGCAATATTTCCAGCAATAAAAGCTCCACACGTATAGGTAAAAACGCACACCAGCAAATTATAGCTTTCCAACAAAACTTTGTTAACATAGAAACACATCCTTCCTTGTTGCAATGGCGCCAGTCTTCTTTTAAAAGCCGTTCTGTCAGTTCTTTCCTCCTCGTCACGTTTCTAGATGATCTTGGCCTCACCAAGAATTTACATATCAAAAATCGAGACACGAGACAAAATACACGTAACAGTAAACACACTGTAACTCAAGCAAATTTCTGAATCGATGAAAAACCTCAAGCCACCATGCCGTTCACTTGTAATTTACGCAACAATTGATTCGTTGCAGGGACTATCGAAAAATTTTATTCCGAGTTAGGCCGCGGAGATTTGTAAATGTACACCACTTGCTGAGCGAAAGAGCACTCCTATGGACAAATATTACATTTCTGTTGCTAGCTTTGAAGGCGTAAGAAAGGACAACTTGGAAATACGTTCAGTCCTGCGCGCTAGTACAGCGCGGTCCCTATCTTTCTCGCATGGCGCCACTCAGGCAAGCCGAAGAGCCATGTTCCTACACATCGCGCTGATTATCCAGGGAATGCTCCTTTAAAGGTGCGTTTGGCGTCATATGAGGACGGCATTCCATTGTTGTTCAGATCTTTTTGGACGCACCCCGGATGGCGTACAGACACCCAAGAATCTTCAGGATGAAAAAGGATGCTGTCAGCGTGTTGGCACGAGTCTGCTTAGGTCTCTTGATTTTCAAAACGTGTCAGAAGTATGTTAATTCCGTTCGAGAGGTGTGATCTATCGAATTACTCAGCATGACGGCAATGTTCTTGAAGGTGTTTGCCGCTTTGCGGTAGGTTGTGGCAGCATCATGTTGGCTCTTGCAATTTCAGCACGTTCACAGAGCCGTAGCGTGAAGCCGTTGATGTCAAGCTGCAATTGTTGCTCATGTATCTATTGCTTTCACTCTTTAGATTGCAATTTTCGACCAGCTTTGTAAGAACTGTCTTCCGCTTGTTTTGTGTTGACAAGGCCAGCCATAGATCTGAAGGAGATGAGCAGTGCTTTAGGATGCCAAGTAATATTAAGAGGCCCCATTCACCCGTGGCGTCACCTAAGGTATGTCAGGTCGGGCATGACTCTATGCCAGTTGATTTCAAAACTCAACTGAAAGAGCAATTCGCGCAGAGGGCGGATATCGCAAGCACTTCTCATGAGTTCTCTTCAGCAGTGTCTGTCTCCAGGGAGTGCCGACCTCCAGCCAGGTCGTCTCCTGAAGAAGCCGCACGTCTGAAGGAGATCTCCGATGGTGGGAGAACAAGGTCTCATGTCATGCATCTACAAAGCAGCGGTTTCAAGGGAAAAGGAAGCAGATGACGCCTGCTAAAGTTCTTATCCAAGTTTGCGAATTGTTGAACCCAAAAAAGCAGGACCCTAGCAAACGTTCACTTGACGGTGTGTATCGGGATCATGCAAGTGGGTAGCAATGGTAGTGACAATATACGTCTTAGTGATTCACGGTTCATGAAAGGGCGTCGGAGCGTTTACGGGCCGCAGGCAGATATACCGGGATCGTCGGGACATTCATGGTGCCACAAATAGACGTGCTGAAATCGCCAGGACATTTACGGCGCACGAGAAGAT